GCCAGCATCCTTCCCTGGGCCTTCCATACTTCTCAGTCCACGCAGGGTCCTTCCTTCCACAAGGCGTAGACACCGTTTGATACACTCTCTCAACCTTCCCCTTCCTATATTCCTTTTGCAATTCAGTTCCAATTCAAGTTTTCTACGGGATCAAACCAGTTCATGCTGGGCCCTAACTTCTGCATTTCACTGGCATTCCTTCTGCCATTTTGCAACAGCGAAAAAGGAACACACACTTAAAATAAGGACAAACCTTTGTGCGGTCACACTTGCCATCTTGATTTTGTTGACTGCCCCACCCCACTTCCTCAGATGCCCCTGAAATGGCAGCCCTGGGCCACGGGGCTGGTCTCAGAAGCTAAGCAGGGCTGGGTTAATTCCTGCTTGGAAGAGAAACCCTCGCTGGGTGTGGTCACCAAGGGATGAGGGCCTCTCGTCTCCTCAAAGGGAAAAAAACCCCTTTCAATAAAGCCTGTGGCTAAGTAAGTAAAGGATTGCAGTTTTAGTGTCCATTATTAAATCTTCGGTTTGCATTCTATAGTGAGGGAAGCCCCAGGGGCCTCTGCATAGAAAAATAGCAGATGGTTAAAGGATTAAGCAGGACACACACACACACACACACACACACACACACACACGCACGCACATGCACACACACACACACACACACACACACACACGCTCCCAACTGCCCACTCCCAGAACAGTGGAGCTTTTAAAACAAGATTAAATACACTCCTGGACAGGTATGACTCTCAGGCCTGTGCATGGCCCAATGACCAATGCTGGTGGCGTTCACCTGACGCCTCTCCCCTCCCCTTCTGGGTCTCAGTCAGTCCCTTGGAAGCAAAATGCTGGGATTAGGTGAGCAGGACAGACCGTAGCAGGATTTGCTTAGCCCAGCTCTTTCAAAATTCTGGGGATGCACAAATGAGCTCTTTTCTACTCTAGAAACACATCGCTTGCAGCCCGAGGTTGCATTAAAAGAAATATGGTTATTTTTCTCCTGCCGGGATCCCTGCAATGGGAACATCACCACCTGGCATTGCTTCTCAGTGTTAATCTGCCTCTCAGTTAAAACAAGAAGGATTTTTTGACATAAATATTAATATAAATAAATATTAAAATAAATATTTGAGAAATTATAACCCTTTTACACATTACTTCCATCGGTTCAAAATAAGCATCTCCACCATCAAAAATGATATGTACACCACTCTGACCTCTGTCTGTAAAAGGGGCAAGATACCTTCGGTTCCCACTAAGGAATTTCTTGCTGGAAAATAAATGGAGGCCAACTCCCAAAGTCAAAGAACTCCCAAAGCTCTTTCTGAATATTCAACATTTGAGCCAGGCTCTGGCTTCTCCTCTGCCTTGTCTGCAGGCTTCCATCTTCCCCGTGGCCGTGGAGACAAAAAAGGCCCAGGGCACGGGCGGCCCCCACAATTCCCTGGCGAAGCATCACTCAGCTTAAGCAGGTAAATGCAAATGTATCTGCAATTTTGCAGCATCATTTTATCTATATTTACATTTTAAAAACACAACACTTGTTCAATATGCACCAATTTCAGAGAAGTTTGGCTAAAAGTACAGTCTGGATCCCTCTCTCCATTCTTTCTTTTCTTTATTCCAGTGCCTGCATAACAACATTGGATAACAACAATCCTACAAAACCAGTGTACACCCTGCCTGGTACCAAATGCTGCACTCCCTGCCTCTTTTTGCAAGAGTGCAGCTGCTACTTAACGGCTGGCGCAACCTGTACTCTGCCAGAGGCCCCACAAATCACAGTGTGAATATAATGCTGGGATTTACTTGTGCATATAAAATTATATTTAAAAAAACCCACACCCTGTTCTAGTTTTCTTTTAATTTATTCACCCAGAAAAAAAAAGAAAAGAAAAAAACTTGAGGAGCTAGAAGCAGTCTGAACTCCTAGTGCTGCTGGCATCTCTCCTTCAGCTGCTTTCTCTCTCTCTCTCTCTCTCTCTTTCTCTCTCTCTCTCTGCAGTGACTCTAATAGAGCCTACTGACGGTCAGAGGGAGCCAGCACTGCTGCTGCTCGTAAGAGTTACAGACCTGGAACTTGGTGCTTGGACTCCGATCCCCAGAGTGCACCAAGCCAAGACTGGAGGCCAGAGACAGAGTTTCCTGGATGAGGCTCCCTACTCACATCCTTGGAGTCAGTCTGAATCCCATCCTCTGAACCAGACTGATTCGGTTCCGATGGCCCTGCCCTGAAGCCAGGGCAACTGGACCAGGCTGATCTACACTGATCCAGCAATGTCCAGTTTGATCTGACACTTTGACTCCATTTGTCGTTTCAGTTCAGGCGTTCCAATGAAAGCAAATCTCTGAATCAGAATATTTATGCCTTGTGGAGGCGTTGTATAACAGAGCATAAACCCACAAGTGACTTTAACGCAAACAACTACCAGGCTGATTTGACTTTAGCCGTGCCTTTAATCTAAGCTTTAAGTAACACACCAATGTTTAGCAATGATAAAATTGTTGATATCATAGCTTGATATAAACTTACAGAAGTAAGGAAGACTTCTTCAAGTGGATAAGAGAACATGTTAATCCAGAGGATATTTAATTTAGTCTATAGCACTCTGTGAACATTTTATACTGAAATGTACTGAAGTGGGAAAACCTGATGGTGAACCAATTGTGCTTAGACAAGAGCGAAGCCTCTGGGCAAAAGGTCAAAGGAAAGACGGAGCTGACTCTCACCGGAAGGAGGCATCTGTGGCTAAAGGGGGCCTCTTCCCAAGAGCAAACAGGGCTCCTATCTCCACCTATCCTATGTGCAAAGGGAGATGAAAACGAACAAGGCAAGCCAGGAAAATCAGACCTGCAGAGCTGTCCACTAGGTACAACAACAACCAGAAAAAGTCCAAAGGCCGGCCGTGGCTCCGGTCACCTTGTCACGGCTGCCCAGGCCTGGAGCGGCCCCACAAGCCTCTGGCTCTACATCGCAGCTCACAGCTCAGGCCCGCAAAGTCATTCAGATTGCCCCATCCTGTTGAAACACAATAAGGGCCACGAGGTGAGGGCATCCCCAGGTCAAAGGCCCCACGGCACTGGCCAGGCTGAAAGGGGGAAACAGTCGGTGGGAGGAGCAGTGGGCCGGAGGCCTTCGAGGGAGGGCAGCTTTCAGGCCCCCCCCCCCAGCCAGCAGGACAGCCAGCTCCAGCTCCATTGAAGGCAATCAGGGAGGAAAAAAACCTCCAAGGCTATGAATTTTTTGGGTCCTTCACAGGAAGTGACCCTTTCTGCCACTTTTTGAACAAAAATGTCAATTTGTTCCATTGACCAAACAAGAGGAAAACCTCTCCTGATTAAAATGAGCTGAAAGCTCACTCCAGCCTCCCTCGACAAGGCAGCTGATGGGCTTCTCCCCCGTCCAGGCATTTCCCTGTCCTGCCTGGGGTGGGGTGGGGCCACAGTCCCTGCTCAACGTTGCTGCGGCAGAGAAGCTGTATCTTTTGCAGCCCATCCTTCGGCCGCAAAGGACATTTTCCTTCATTCAATAAACTGCAACATTCTTGTGAAACATCAGAATGGGAGGAAACATTTTCCTATCAAAAACCATCACTTTTCTCTCTTTCTCCCAGTATATTTTCTTTCACGTTCTCTCTATTTTATTTTCCTTTTCTTACTCTCTTTCTAGTTTGTAGCTTCCTTTCATTTTTTTCCTCCTATTCATAAGGGACAACACAAGGAAAGACTGGGGGGAGTGGGTGGGGCCTTCTCCTACGGTCTGACACCAGCCATAAAAGCCCCCTAAAGCCACTAAAAAAGTATCCAGAGGTGATGGAGACTGAGGACTTTTGGACGGATCTATTACACAAACCTGCTAGGGGGAGAGGCAAGGAAGCAGGTACGTTCTAAGATGGAAATAAAGCTCCCTAGGAAATCCCTCAGGGCAAACTTGCCAACGTTAAATTGTGGGAATGTCAATTCCCAGAATTTCCCAGCCAGCCTATGCATATTCTGGAAGTTGAAGTCCCCACGTCTCAAAGTTGCCACGGCTGAGAAACGCTGCTTTAGTCAAAAGGGTGATTTTTCAGACAGCTTAAAGAGAGGCTAGAAAGAGGCAGGGGAAAGACGTCCACCAGAAACAGGGCAAGGACTACATTCGTTCTGTGGCAGGATACAGTGTGAGGTTTTACTGAATCAAGGCTCTCGTTGATGGGACGGCCCTCTGCCTTCCTGTGGTTCCCTCTGCCCATTCAGCTTTGCCCAAAAAGAGGGCAGGCAGCCGGGCGCAGGGAAAGCAGCTCTGCCAGAGAACTTTCATCACAAAGATGCATCTTGGACATGCAGGACGTTTGCCTTGGGACAGAATTTGCCTGGAATAGTGTAGGGGAGGAGGGGGAGCAGGGGACCCTACGCCCCAAGGCCCCTTCCAACTCTTGGTCACTCTGAGGTGGGACATGAACCCCCAGGACGGAGGTGGCAGAGGTTAGTGGCCTGGTCGGTCTTTTCAATCCAGCACTGACATTTGTCCTTCCCCAGCAGCACATTTTAAGTAATAGTCTGAGGATCCTAAACCCGGTGGGGCACCCAGATTGTCTCCCCCCCCCAAGACTTCATAGGGCTTCTCCTTCTCAGCTCAGGGTGTCCCCAGCTGCCTCTCAGATCAGGCCTCTGTTTCCAAGAACCCGTTTCTCTCTGCAGGCACTTAGCCAAATATAGCAACAGCACAAATGTTGACTCAGAAGGAATTGTTCCATTGATTTTAATTGTATCTCCTCCCAAGTAAGATTGCATCTTAAAAAATTAATAAAATTTAATTTCATTTAGAGTTAGGTCCCAAACATGCAATAATAAAATTGAACATTTAACCATGCAGTCCGAACATAATGTTTAAAAACACGGGCTCTGCCAAGAGAGCCCAGCCAGCTCCGTGGCACTCAGTGAGTGAAGCCCAGCTCAACTGAGTGCCGGCCGGCGATTGCCGGAGAAGACGCTGCACACACGGGGTCTCTTACCTTTGAGGGAGGCCACTTGTGACAAGGCTTGGGCATACGTCGCTGAGTTGAGGAGGGCCCCTGGTAGACAGGAAGGGAAGAAAGATCCAGAAGGACCAACTGCTCTGCTGAGGCTGTAGTGGGGGAGGGGAGAGGGGGGATGACAAGCAAGCAATTCAGGAACGGATCGATGCACTGTCGTCTCAGCATTATCCGCCTTCAGGAACATCAAGAGTCTGAGAAATGGTTGCCTGCCTGGGGACGAATGTTGACCGTCACACCATTTTGAACACCTGTTCCAAAGCAGCCACCTGCCAGTTTGTGTTGGAGCCTCATTCAAGGTGCTGGGGTTGACCTTTAAATACCAAATGGCCCGGAACTGGAGTGCCTCCATTAGATCTCCCCCTTGGGCTTCACGGTCAACCATTAAGTTCTTCTCCAGGTCCCATTACCTCAGACAGGCAAGTCCGCTTCTTCGAGAGGATGGAAACTTACCAATTCCATTAAGCTTTTGGAAGATGATTTGCTAATTCCTCTTCTTTGGATTGCCTGTTGCTACTAATCTAGTGCTTAGTTTTTCAACCTATTTCTATTTTTGCAGGGGGATCTACAAAGAGGCGCTCTCTTTCTCCAGAGGGTGGGATATGGAGTAATGGATTGAATTTACAAGATGGCAGATCCCATCCTGAAACGTCCCAAAGAGCAGTTTAACCGTAGCAGGGAGGAGCTAGAGCAGGGGTCTCCAAACTTGGCAACGTTAAGACTTGTGGACTTCAACTCCCAGAATTCCACAGTCAGTTCTGTGTCAACTCTGAAAGATGCAATTATCCCTTTCATTCTGATCTCTTTGGTCATTAGCTGTAAAACCACCATTTTTACATTAGGACAACTACATGAGGCTTTGTGGCAGCTCTTGGCATCCAAGCACCCTATATGCTCTGGCATCTTCCCACGGGGCATAAAGTATCCACCCAATTTGTCCATTTGGAGTTCTCTTGGTGAGCCAGATAGGAAGCCTGCCAGATGTGGCAAAGGCGCACAAACACAAAAAGATAGACAAAGAAACGGGCAAAAATTGGGACAGAAGTTGTGAGAAAGGGCAGAAGCATCTGACTTAAGAAGTGCGGTTGGCAAGGAAAATAAGGAAACAGCTGGCTGTTGTCAGGAAGTGAGGAACAGCAACAACAACAAAATTAAACTTTAAAAGACATTACAGAAATAAGGACTAGTCCTGCCACCCACTTTCCACCCATGGAGGAACATGGGAAAGGTGAGAAAATACGACGGTGTGCAAACTTAAGGGACTTCAACACCATCGCAAACCGTCTTATGGGAAAGCTAGGAGAGAAGCCATCCCTGGTGCTTGGAGAACGAGCCCGGAAGCCCTCTTCAGAGCACAACTCCCGGATCTTCACCCCACTTCTCATTCCATTTATATCTAGATCTCTCTCTGCCTCAGTGCTGTCCTAGGCATCGCTGCGTGCCCTTAGTCACTCTCGTGTTCCATAGAAGCATGAAAGCTCTTTTCACTTTCTTCTATGTTTCCGGGAGCAAAGAATCCCCAAGCTGAGCAGACCATAATAGTTCTATCTTCATTAACGTTATCTACTTAGTACGACCTTGTGCTGGAGCCATCTGAACATTTTCTTCGGTGTTATAGGACATTCCTTCTTTTAAATCAACACAACATCAATTTATTCCCCTTAGTTGGTGCCTCTGTTAGATTTAATTTGATGTTTGGAAGACTAGAAGCACCTGGGACAGCTCCCTCCCTCCCTCCCTCCCTCCCTCGGCCTTTCTGCCTCAGCCCCCTGCCCAGGGGCCTGTAATTAGCCAAATCCTTATCGCAGGAGGAGCTGGAAGCCGAAGCTTACCTCTGCTGAAGGTCCAGGCTCTCTTTCTTATTCCTAGGTTGATCAACGGGGGAGGGGGAGCTTAAATTTCTTCCAGGGGGTGTCAGTTCTGTCACAGCCTCCTTAGAACCTTCTTGATCAGAAGATCCTCTCTCTGTTTTCCTCCATTTAGCTCTTCTGTTCTGGAACCAGACCTGGGTCAGGTGGGAGAGAAGCACTGAGGAGCCTTGCGTGAACATTAAAAAAAAGAAAAGAAAAGAAATCCTACACGTGGATTTGTCTTCTTTTGACAGTCTTCTAAAAAAGCTGAGGTTCTAGGAAACGACCATGTTCATGTGCCAGTAGTCTGAAGACTAATAGTCTTCAAAGAATAGGAGAAAATAAATGGTATATATGCATAGATGTATGCGTATGAATGTACATGTATCTAGTTGTGCAATTGTAAGGCCGCCATAACTACAAATTTATTAAAAATGTCTGCAAAAAGTAGGCTTAAATGTAGTTTGAATCCTTCGCACACTGTCCATTCTACTTCAAAGAACCACTCCTGCAAATCGGAATGTGCTTATTTTAAACTGGGAGTTTGGTTTAACTTGTGCCGTTATTGTGCTTATTAGTGGCAATTGGGCTTTCTTAGCTATGGGGCGAGGAAACCCACCATTTAAAAGACGATTACAGTGTGCTGAGTATCATTGTTCTTATTATCACTCAATTTTTATTTAGCCTGTTTTTAATTGCATGTATCAGCAAAGGCTGCATAATGATTTTATCTGCATTCCAAATTTAGGAATTAAATGCAAAGCCAATTGCAGACACTTCCTTGTGCCTTAATTGAATGAAGGTCACAGCTATAACAACACTTAATTGAGCTATTTTTCATTATCATATTTTAATGACTTTGCAATGACAGTTTGCCGGCTTCTGAAGAAAGAGCCTGATGAAGCCGTTTATTTTCGTATTTAGTTTTTGTTTGACAACATCATCTTCGATTAAGGCCGGGCCTTTCAGCACATTAATCACATTTGAATGAGCGGAGGGCAGCCGTGTAAGCAGAGCTTCTTCTCCGGGGGTCCCAGCATGAAAGCAGAGCCCCGACTCTATTGTCTGCCCGCACAAGGCTCGACAACGAGGCTAAACGTTATCATTGTCACCACCCCTATCTCGCCCTTGCACCTTTCAGGGAGAAGTTATGATCTTCCGAATGCTCCATAATTGTCCCATTTATCTCAATTTGCAGCTCAGTCTTTAGGCACCAATTGCTAAAATGGTGGGAGGGAAAACTCCAAACCGACGTAGCTCCCACGTACTGGCAGAAGGGAGATTTCAGTGTCCAAATAATAATAATAATAACCACTTTAATTTCCCAGCACATGACCAGTGATTCATGTTCAGATTTAATAATCACGGTTGCGTAATCTGATTATGGAAGAAATAATTTGTTTACAATCCCCAATTTACTGCAGTGAATTCCATTATCTCTGCTCAGCCATTGGGTTTTAAGAGATACTAACATGGCCCAGGGGAAGGAGAGGCACGCTATTATATTTCCTACAATTAGCTCTTTGCATAATCTCAACCCCGAGCACCCACATAAAAAGGACACAGAAGCAGCAGGCAGGAAAAGCCCCATAAATAACATATGTGAGCATTAAGAAAAGCTTGGCTCTTGCTAAACAAGAGGCCCCGGGGTGTGTGTGTGTGTGTGTGTGTGTGTGTGTGTGTGTGTGTGTGTGTGTGTGTGCGCGCGCGCGCGCGTGCGCAGATGTGGAACTATTGGGCACCTGGTCCCCTCCTCCGAGGTCCGCTGGCCCAGGGCGGCGTCCTCGCCGAGGGAAAAGGCGCGGCCAGAGGGGCGTCCAGGGCAGGGAGCTCCCTTTGAAACGGGGCTCTGCCTCTTCGAGCTCCGCGGTCGGAAAGGAGAGCGCCGAGTCACCCCTTTCCGCCTCCCAAAGAAACGGAGCCGCTTCTCCCGGGGAATCCCTCCCGCGTCCGGCACCGAAGGGGCTCGCGGGCTTCGTCTCGGGAGCCGCCGGGTGGAAGCGGCGGCCCAGACTCCAGAACCGGCCCTGGGCTGCAGTTCCCTGCCCGCCTTCCCCGAAGGCAGAAGCTCCCTGGGGGCGCCCAGAGGCAACGGCGCACCTGTGGCCTCGTCCCCGGGGGGGGCTCCGCTCCGCCCACCTGCAGGCAGGAGCCGCCGCCGCCGCCGCCCCTCCCCCGGGCCTTGCTTGGCCGAGCCTTGGAAAGCCCCCCGGCCCCTCTGTTCCCCCCCCCCGATGCCCTGGGAGCCCCGGCCGCCCTTCCTCCCGGGGCCTGAAGGGAAGCCTGGAGAGCATCCCGGCCTGCGGGGGTTGCCCCGGACGCCGCCTCGCCTGGACCGGCCTGAAAGCGCTCCCGGCGGGAGGGAGCCGCTGGGCCGAGGGAGGCTTCTCGGAAGGACCCGCGCCCTTCTCTCCGCCGGCTATCCGCAGGGCTCCTGGACGCGTCCGGGAGAAGAAGGCGGCGCCTCCTCCGCGGCCAAAGGCTCCGTGTGAAAGGAGCTGCCCGTTGACACGTTTTGCTCACTGTGGTTCTGTTTTAGCGCGTTTCCTTCCTTCCGAGAGCCAGAAAGGGGGAAAACCGAGGAAAGGCCTGGCGGAGTTGCTGCAGAGAGGGCTTCCGATTCTCTCCATCTTCTGGGAAGGAAAAACCCCCACGCGCCCCTCCCCCCAAAGGGCCCAGGGAAGCGGGGGCGCCCGGACGCGCGAGCTTGGGGAAGAAACGGAGCCGCTCTTCCGGCTAAAGCTCGCTCGGGACCAAGCAAACCCAACGGAGCCTCGCTTGACCCACAACGACGTGTCCCCCTTTCAGTCAGGCCGAGCCGAAGCGTTCGTTTCCGTCAGCCGCTTTCACCGGACGGCAGCCTCGCCTGAAGGAAGAGCCGCGGGAGCCTCCGCCCCTCCTTCCCCGGGGGCGCCCCGCCCGCCCCTTCCCCTCCCCCCTCCCGCCCCTTCCCCTCCCCCCTCCCGCGACCCTCCCGTGCACGGAAATGGATGGGCGCTGATGTAATTTAGTACCTCGGAGACACGGACAAATTAGTGTAGAACATTATCACTGGTTAATTATGAATGACCGATTAATCAACCTAATCTAATATTCCACATTATGTTGATGTTATTAAAGTGCATCATGAAAATGACAGATCGGCTTCATTTATTTCCTTTGGCCAAATGTGCAAATGGATCCTGCCCGCGGGCGGCGCGAGGCCAAGGCAGGAGGGCGCGAGGGGAAAAGGGGCCGAAGCGGGAGGGGGAACGGGCGAATCACCGGGCCGCCGCCCTCTCCTTTACCTGCACGCGGGCCTCGGTCAGGTTGATCTTCATGGCCAGCTCTTCCCTGGTGAAGACGTCCGGGTAGTGAGTCTGGGCGAACACTGCCTCCAGCGCCTCCAGCTGCGGGGAGACAAGCAGCGACGTCGGGCGGGGGTCCCGGGCCACATCCCCGCCCGACCCCGGCCCACGGCGCCCCCTCCCCCCGCGGGGAAGGACGGTTTCCTTCAGGCGGAGCGGGCCGGTACCTGCTGGAGCGTGAAGGTGGTCCGGTTCCGACGCTGCTTCCGACGGAGAAAGCCGTCCTCGAAGTCCGCCGTGGAGGGCCCGCCGAAGGCCGTGGCACCTGAGCCGGGAGAAAGGCCCGCTCAGAGGGACGGCCGAGGCTGGCGCCGCCGCCTTCTCACGGCAGCCCCCGGGGGCCCCGACCGGGCTCCGAGGCTCGCAAGAGAGCGGAACGCCTCGGCCCCGAGCGGGGAAGCCTCGCCTTTCGCGGTTCAGGTCCCGGTGAAGGAGCCGGACCCAGAGAAAGGCGGCCGCGAGCGGAACTCGGGCCGCTCCGACGGGCAAGGCGCGCTTGGCGCGTCGGGGAAGGGGCGGGCAGAGATGAAATCGGCCGGGAAAGAAGCCGGAGCTCCGCGATTCTTTCCCGGCAGGGCGGGTTCGCTTTCTTGCCAGACGGGCTGCGCTCCAGCCGAGAGGGGGGCCGCGCTCCTGGGTAAGGGGAGCCCGCCCGCCTGAGGGGCCGGGGGGGGCGAGGTGCCGGGCTGGGCTCACTGGGGCGACGGCCAAGACCCCCTTGCCCCGCTGAGCCGCGGCACTTGAGCCCGGTTGGGAGCGTCCAAGCCAGAGCCGCTCCCTTCCGTCCCCCGGGCGGGAGAAAGCGACCTGGCCCCGACGAGCGATCCGATGGGCGGAGGGGAACTCCCCTCTGGGGGCCTGACTCTGGCCCGAGTTCAGGCAAAAGGCCCCGGTTGACACCCGGAGATGCCGCGGGCTGGCACGGCGCAACGAAGGCGGCCGCCCCGTCGCCCAGGGCTTCCCCCCAGAGCCCGTCTGGGCACCCCCGTTACGGCCTCCGCGGGACTGTCCCGGGTTCCCACCGGCTTCCTCTCCCGTCTCCTCCAGGCGCCCGCGAACCGCGCAGGGGCCGGACTGGTTTCGCCTCGTCCGGGGCTACCGCTGCCCAAAGGCCTCCCCGCCTCCTCCTAAGGCGCCGCTCCTCGGGCCTGCCGCGGCCGCAGGTGCCCAGGGATCCCCGGTCTGCCTTCCGGCCCCGTTTGCAGAGGAGCGGGGCCTGCAAAGGAGGCCCGTTCGGGGCGAAGCAGGCGCGGCCCAAAGGCGTCCTGCGGGGAAGGAAAGCCTGGCCGAGCGGCCCGCTTAGACGGCCGGGCCGGCGCCCCTCCTGCGCTGCCCTGCGCTGGCCACGCTCGCGTTTGCCCAGCCGGCCCAGGCTCCGCTCGCTCGCCCAGGTCTAGCCGGAGGGAGCCGCCGGGCTGGGCCGGAAGGGAAGAAACCGCAGGCCTCGATCCAGGCCCGGCGCCCCCTTCTTCCCGGGCGCTCGCCCGCTGGGACTCCGCCGTCTCCGAGGGACGGAAGCGCGCTTTGCCGCCTCCCAGGCCAAACCTCTCCGCGGAAGCTGAGCCGCTCTGGAGACGGGGCGCTTAGAGGCGGCGCCGCCGTTGCTCGTCCCGGCCCCTTCCCCGAGACCCCGCCGGGCTTTCGTGCCGGCGAGCGTCGGAGGCGCAGGCGCTCGGGACGGGGTGGCCGGGCCCCAGGATAAGCCCTGCCTGCCCTTGGCCTCCCGCCCCCGCCGGTGTTTAGAGCTGGAAATACGTTTACATCTGATCCATCTGCCGGAATAGAAAGGCCGGCGGGGGGGGGGAGGCGGAGGGGTCGCCTTTCTCCCGCGGGAAGCCTCCCTCCCCTCTTCGGGCCCGGCGCCTTCCCGGCCTGCTCCAGCAGGGGAGATTTATGTCGCCCCCGGGCCAGCCGCCCCCGACGCCGCCTCCCGACCAGAGGCGAAGGGGAGCATCTGGGCGGCAGGAGGCGGCGAGAGCCTCCGGGCCTGGCCTGGCCTCCCAGCGCCCGCGCGCGCCTCTCCGACTGCGGCGGGAAGCAGGTGGCCCGCTCGCTGCCAGACACGCGCGATTCCGGGCCGGAGCGGCAGGCGACTCCCGTTCGGTCCCGCTTCCCCAACGGCCAGGCCGCCCGCTCGCTTCTCCCCGGCGGCCGCGCCCAAGCCTCAGGCCGAGGTCGGGAGCCTCCTGCGCGCGGATCAGCTCCGCGCTCCTCCCGCGGCCGTCAGAGAGCCAAGGCGCAGCCCCGGAGCGCTTCGCCCGCCCGCCCGCCCGCCCGCCCGCCGAAGAAAGTTGCGCGCCTACTTACGGTGGCGACTGCTCGCGAACACTCACCCTCCAGCGGCGGGGGACAGTGGAAGTAGAACATGCCGGGCCCGGGCTGGGCGCTGCAGGCGGCGGCGGAAGCGGCGGCTGAGGCGGCGGCGGCCGAACGGGCTGGAACTGCGGGACAAACGAGGGAGGTTGGCCAGACGGGAGGGCGCCGCTTCTCGCGGGCCGGGCTCGCTCGCCCAGGCGGACCCCGCCGGCAGCAGAGGGCGACCCGTTCCCCGCTCCTGCTCGCCTCCGCCAGGCCCTCGTTCCGGGAAAAGTCGCCCGGCCGCCGAAGCGGGGCAAAGGGACGCGGAGAGGGAAGACCCGGCCTTCCTCGCCCCGACGGCCAAACAGGCGCGGGCGGCCCCGGGCGGGGCTCCTCCGGGGATCGGCTGCCCCGAGCGGAGCGCTCCGAGGCGCCGCCCATCCGGCTTCAGCCCTCCCAGCCGGAGACTCTCCCGGGCGGGAGTTCCCGCGGCCGGGCGGAGCGCTTCCTTCCCTCGCAAAGCCCGCACCCCCCCCCCGCAGCCGCGCCCCGGGCCTCGTGGGCGGACGGGGCCTCCCCTGCCGCGGCCCGGGAAAGGGCGCCCGGCTCCGGCGGCGGCGGCGCCGGATGAGGCAGCCGAGGCCCTACTAACCGGCGCGGCGGCAGCTGCCGGCGTCGGGGCAGCCGCGGGCCTTGGCGGAGCCGCGCCAACGGGCAGCTGTCTTTGCGAAGCTCTCTCCAGCCCGCTCAGCCTCCCCGCGCTGCCTTTTATAATCTCACGCGTAATTGGCCTTAATCGGATTATTGCCGGCGCTGCACGGAGCGAGGAACTTGGATAGGTCTGCCGGGCCTTCCCGATGACCCACGTGGTGCGTGGCGGGGGGAACCGACGTCATCTCTCAGTCAGCACCCCGAGCGCCGGCCGTAGGAGGGGCGGAGAGGGGGGAGGCCGACTCCGCCGCCCCGTCCTCGCCCAGGCCCTTCGACGCGCACGAGGCTCCGGGGCCCGCGGGTCCCTCCCTCCCGGCCCGCCCCCGCCCCTTCGCCGACGGGGGCCGGCCTTGGCGCTCGGGCTCGGCTGGCGCGCTCTTCCCCGGGAGCGCTAATGGGCCATTCGGTGGGCTTTCCAGGAGGCGCCTCGCCTTTCCGCGGCGAGGTTTGATTTTGTTCGCAGCGAGGGGTCTCCGGATTGAAGCTCGCTTCCCGTCTGCGAATGGGAGGCGGCGGGGCCCTCCGCAATTACTTTTAAAACGCATTGGAGACTCGGCGGCGAGAGAGGCGGCTCAGCCCCGAAGCCTGGCTGGAAATGAGGCTCGGAAGCCTCCAGCTGAACGCGTGAATTCGGGGGGCGCCGGATTGGATGAGAAGACATCAAACGGAGGAGAGGGGAACGGGGTGGGGAGCGTAATGGGCTCCGTAATAGCGGCACACCAAGATAATGGGCTGCTGGTGGACCCTTCCCCCCCCCGCCCTATTAAGCGCTTCCCTGGCGTAAAGCCTTTACGACGTGAAAGGGGGATCTAATGATATTTGGGTTATTAAATGCGTGTAATTAATTTATGCACCACTGAAAATAAAGTTGATTTTTTGACCCTCTCAAGATGCATTAGACGATGCAAGTCAAACAACTGTTGATAAATGTATCTGACTATTCTCTTCGATTGGGAACAATCCCCTTTCGGAAAAGTTGGAAAAGCGAGGCGTGTCGCAAAAACTGGGATTTCTGGAAAAAAAAAAGAGTATAATTTGCCAGTACAGGGCGAGAGAGGCATTGGAGAAGCAAGATTTAACACTTCGGAGCCTTGGAAATGAAAAAGAAGCTCTTCCTGCAACTATCTTAATCCGCGGAGCCCCCCCCCAGACCTAGACGTGAAAAGCCCCCCCCCCCACTTTGGCCAGAACTGCTCCTCCTGGATGGGGGTCTCGCTCCTCGCGGTTTCCTGCAAAAACTGAACGGGAAAAGCGACTTTGCTCTTCACTCGCCAGCCGGACAAGGAGCAGGAGGTTTAGGGCTGAGCTGACCTCTCGGGATCGCCACCGCCAGAACTGGGGGGGGGCGGGGTGGTCAGAGTGGATCCCGTTTGGCTCGGCAAAGCCCGGGGCGGGGAGAGACGCTCCCTTCCCTTCTCTGGCCGGGGAGGACGGAGGGGGGGCGCTCTTCGGGCGGGCCCCCTTCAAGAGGGAGGCGAGGAAAAGCCTCGCTCGCCTCCTCGGCCGCTTCCCCGACTCGCTTCCGCCCTTCGCGGCTCGCCGCTGGGCGAGGCTGCCGGTTCAGCGGATTCAGCACCACGGACAGAGGCCTCGGCGGCGGCCTCCAGGCCGAAGCAAGCCTGGCGCCTCCCTGCCTCGGGGGTCCCGGCCCTTGCCCGGCGCCCTTGAGGCCCTTCCTCGTTCGAGGAGTTGCGGGACAAAACCGCCCCGGAGGAAGCTTCCGCTGGACCCGACGCCGCTCAAGCGCCTTTCGGGCGGCCCCCGCCGCGTCTGCTAAACTGTGACAATCCGGGCGGGGCGGGGGGCGTGGAGAGCGGGGGCTCCTTCCCCCAGCCCCGGTCCGGGCATCCGCAGCCCCGCTCTCCGCACAGGCCGCTGGGCCCAGGGACCGGGGCAGCTCACGGTCCAGTAGTGGGGGAGGAGGGGGCATTTCGGACCTCTGGACGGCCGCATCCCTCGTGGACAGCCCACCCCGGGAAGGTGGCCGGAGCCGCTCCCTGCCTGGGCTACCGGGCTAATACTGACCCCTGCGCTGGGTGGGGGAGGGGAGGCGAGAGAGGCGGGGGGGGAAGACGACCGAAAGGCCTGGCCTTTGTTGGGGCGCAGCTGCCCTTTACTGGTACCGGTAGAAGGCGGGGCACGCGTGGGAAGGGGGCGGGAGAATGGACCCCTTGCCTTGGGCGCTACAAAGTGGCCCAGCCCGAAGCCCGGGAGCGCCCTTGCGTTGGGGATGATTGAGAGACTTCCCGAGGGAGGGGGGCGCTCCGGTCCCAGAAGTCGCAAGCTAACCCCCCCCCCAAAGTCCCCACGCCTCATTCTGAGACCGGCCACTTCTCCCGCTCGCTGACTCGGTCTCCGGCCAGTCGAGTTTGGCGCAGCGGCGGAGACGCTGATGGTTTATGACGGCTGTTAATTCGGAGCTTTCATTGCGGCTTTTATTTCCCTATTATTTGGCAGCGTCGTTGACCGCCAGAACAAGTAACGAAGAGTTTATATTTTATCTTGATCCGTGCGCAGTAAAATATACTTTCCAATTAGTCAAATTTGCAGATTTGTCCCGCTTGGACTCGCTTATAATTTATCACAGAAAGACGTTCTTTCTTTCTCCGAAGACCAAGGTGACTGCTCTTCTTTTTCTCTAACCTTTTTTCACACTTGATGTTCACCAGACTCATAATGTTAATTGGCTTCATATACGGATCATCAGTTTAATGAAGGAATCGATCCTATGTTTCATTCTTTATGACCCTCTGCCTTAACAGCCCGGGCTTCAATGACGGATGGAACAAGTCCCCAAATTAAAACGCGTCCAAGGCGGTCTGGAGGGCTCCGGGGTGGCGGCAGGAAGGGAAGGGAAGGAGCGGGAACCCCAGCAGCCCCACTCCCAACGCAGCCGGGCCAGGGCGGCGGTGGTGCTTCCTGGGTGCCCTGGATGGCGGCTGGAGAGAGGCGGAGGGGCTGCGCGGCACTTCCTCCCTCCCTCCCTCCCTCCCTCCCTCTCCCCCGGAAAGAGCCTCTGGGCCTTCAGCCACGAGGAGGAGGAGGAGGAGGAGGAGGAGGAGGAGAAACTGCAAGCACCAGCCCACAACATCCCTTAGTTACATGTTGAAGTAGGGAGGATGACTTCCTTTTTAATCTCAGCCAACAGATGCCGAAAGGTCAGAGAGAGTAACTGGAGTATGTCAACGGTATTGAGCATCCCCATAACAGAACGAAACCACTGAAATAAAAATGCCCCCCCCCCCGCTCTTGGTTAGTGTCTTAGCTGCTGCTAACTTTCAGAACAAGCGCAGTCTGGACTGGGGCCTCCCTCCCTCGCAGGCCCTCCTGGGAGGACAGGGACCAAACCGTTTCCCCAGTTTCAGACAAAGCACATCTGTTTAAAATGCCACTGGCAGTTTCAGTCTGGTCCTTCTTTGCTTTTGGCACCCTCGGCCCCTTGGGAAGAAAGGCAGCAGGCAGACAAAATATTTGCTCCCTTACTGAGTTAGCGACGAGCCTTTTCACATCTCCAAGTAGCATTTATTTGGATATTATATTACATCTATTTATTTAGATATAAAATTTTGGGAAGATGTAGGAATGCACATAAGTCCTTACCCAGCAGAAGAAATCTAAGTCACAATGAGAGCAAGGGAGCCTCAGTAGTGGAAGATTAATTTATCGTTGTAAACTCCCACACCCCATTATTTTCTTCAAATGGTCCAGAGTAAGACATATATATTAAAGAAAGTATGGAGGAGAAGGCATTGCAGCTAGACTGGAAGACAATCTCAAGACCCTCCTCAACTATGGATTCCACTTTGGGCCAATTATTCCCTCTCGACAAGCCCATCTCACCTGATGGTTACTGATGATGGTGGTGAATTGGGCAAAAAAGAAGAAAAAAACAAGGCTGCAATCCTATTCAACTTCACTTGAGAGTACATCTGATCAAATAGAGAGAGATCTTTTCTGAGTAACATGCCTAAGCTGTGCACATTTGCTATAGAGCAAATCTGGAAGGACTCAGGCTCCAGGGCTGCCCTCCAAACACCCTTACAAGAGAATCCATGGAAATTACTTCCGAATGGAGGGGAGACTTGCCAACCAGGCCACCTCCAAATATAGTTATCAAATTATAATACCTATGAAGACAGAAGGAGGAATTATTCAAAAGATAATTGAAGAGCAATCATACTGAGTACATTTAACTTTTATGAAATGTGAACAAAATGGAATTTAACTGTCGTCCTGGCTCACTACTTTTTTGGCATATGACCTGGAAAAAAAATTGCAAATCCTAAAACAGGGGCACTTTTAGGATCAAGACAATGAATGCTGTAAGCCTCATAAATAGTGCAGTGGGTCAACTAATGTTTGTCAAATAAATTTAGCTATGAATTTCAGTGTCACAAAGACAACTCAGTTTAAGATCTAGAAATCGCACTCTTCCTAACATTAAGAGCAATTAATGGGAGACATTAGTGCTACAGATACATGCATAGAGAAAGAAAATGGTCCCCACAATATAAAAAAGATGTGGAGACTCTACAAAGAGTGCAGAGAAGAGCAAGAAAGTTGATCAAGGGACTGGAGGCTAAAAGATACAAAGAACAGTTGCAGGAATTGGGTAGGTCTAGTCTAGAGAAAAGAAGGTCTAGGGACAAGGGGCTGCCACAAAGAAGAGGAGGATCAAGCTATTCTCCAAAGCGCCTGAAGGCAGGACAAGAAGCAACGGATGGAAACTCATCAAGGAGAGAAGCAACCTAGAACTAAGGAGAAACTTCCTGACAGTGAGAACAATTAACCAGTGGAACAACCTGCCTCCAGAAGCAGTGAATGCTCCGTCACTGAAGATTTTTAAGAACAGACTGGACAGCCACTTGGCTGAAATGGTCTGAGCAGGAGGGTGGACTAGAACAGGGCTTTTCAAGAAGTTGTGGGTGCTCCACTACGGAAGACTTTTAAGAACAGACTGGATAGCCACTTGGCTGAAATGGCATACGGTTCCCTGCCTGAGTAGGGGGTTGGACTAGATGACCTCCAAGGCCCCTTCCAACTCTGTGATTCTGTTTTGTTAAAATTAAGCAATATTAATACCCTTCTCATCAAGAGGAAGAAGCCAGCTGCCAAGTCAGGAATGACCTTCTCCTCTGGCAGCTGACGACCTTCCTCCTTACCCAATCCAGTTCTCCAAGATCCTGATTTATTGCTACATTAATGATGCATCCACGTTTTGGATATCGAGTTTAGTTTATTTCTTGTATAGTTAGGAAATGTTTATTGGATTATTTTTATTAGGATGATGTAGTTAAAAGATTTTTTGACTATTACTTTATATCAAAAAGAACTCTAATTTGGGGGGAAAATGGACCATAAAATGGATTACAAAAAACATGCCTTTATATAAAAGAAAATAAAAATAATGGAATCTTGATCAAATAAGCCATTAGGAGACAAATGGGCAGCATTGCAATGATTTCTGCGGGGGGGAGGGGGGAGAGGGAGGGAGGGCCTGAAGAGCAGAGCAGTGGGAAATGTGCAAATATAAGAAGAAAAAGAAAGTTGGAGCAAGAGGAGGAGGCAGAGAAGCCAATCCCAGGGAGGACTGTTGTGATGTCTTTTCAGCAAGGGGCCTTGGCCAGGGTCATGCACTGCACCCACCCAGAAGGGAAAACAACGGGGCTCAAGGAGAAGCTTCTTGGATGAGAAGCGAAATGTCTTCAAAGAAAACAAGAAAGTCCAGTTGCCATGTCGTGCTTTGGATTGACGTGCTGAGGGCTCGAGTCCTGGAGCCAGGAGGATCCTGACATTCTGGCTATTGAACTGAACTCCCCTTTAGGAACTCAAAGTCCATCGTCCACAGCAAAAGACTCTCCAATCTTGGCTTGAAATGAAAGCTTTTCTCAATATTCATTTCGTTCCATTATTCTTTTTCCTCCCTCTGGGTTAATGGGGATCATTTTTGGCCTTTGTCTGTAGGGATTCAGTGATCCCAGTCACCCCCATCCTGTCTCTCCGTCTTCTCTTATCAAGGCAAAAGATCCTCATTTCTTCTTTCTCTCTGATCCTCTGCCATCATCACCCTTCTTTAAATCTGTTTCACTTTCTGTGAATCTTTCTTAAAGGATCTTGATGTCTCAGGAGATCACAGGTGATTATTGATCTCTTCATGCAAGAAATAAAAACTTCTCTGCAGACAGAAAGACTCTAAAGTGGCATTTCTGGATCTCAGCAACTTAGAGATGGGTGGACTCCAAGTGGGAGCTGGTCTTGGAGTGGCTGAGGTTGGAGAACGTGGTTCCAAAGCTGCCTTTCTCGGCTGGGACTTCAGGGGCCCCTGGAGAGCTTCTGCGAGAGGCTACTAACGCTTCCACGAGAGATCGTGATTAAAATAAGCAACATCTTTTCTGAACTCCGTACACTGCACACTGCCAGCGCTCACCGCAGCTTATTCATCATGCTGATATGCCGTGAGCTGTAGATATAGTAAAATAAAGGGATTGTCAGACGCATGGAAAGTGTGAACTCCAAATGGTAAAATTTCACTAAATATTCATAACAACCGGTTCATATGTTGGTTATTTGTATCAGCTACTAGATTGCGATAAAACATAGGAAATGGTCCAACGGGGGCCCAGATATTCCATTCTCTCTCTGAAGTAAGAGAGAGGGTGGAAATATCCCATCGGTGGAGGCACAAGGCTGCTATGGCCGGCTCCAAGCGGCTTCCGTCCAATTTTGATCCACGCACCAGTTTTGAGCCTTCTTTGTGCTGATAATGCTGTTGTTCTCCCGGTGCCCCAGGTCAGCAGGCACTGGAGCCTTTGCCCATTACACTGACCAGTTAAAAAGAGAGAGAAAAAAAAGAAAGAAGCCAGGACCGGTTGTGTTCATGTAATGTGGTACTAACATTCTGCATGACTGGAAAAACCAGCAGTGCCCAAACTGAGCAGGCAAAGTCTTCAGGCTTGACAGTCTTCCGCCAACGGAGCCCCCAAACGGGCAGCCTTTCAGTAGGGGTGCAAAGGCCACCAAACGCCACCATCAGACTCACCAGTCACACCCAGGTTGCGGAGATGAAATGCAGTGAATGCGTCCTTGCAGAATGGGAGCCGTTCGAAGCCGAGGCTAGAGGCCTCCCCTCGCAGGCGGCAGCCTGACCTGCGGGAGAAGCAGACCCCCAGCCGGTCGAAGGGCCCGGGGGAGGGCGGGAATTCTCGGCTGCCTGGCCAGAGACCCCTCGGGGGCTGCCAGCGGCAGCAAGACTTCCCCGAGGCCCCCCAGCCGAGGCTGCCCCGGGACGACCCACTGCCTTCCTCTTGAATAAGTAAGCTGTTGGTAATGGGGTTTATTTAAATGAATCAAACCAAAGTATAACTAAACCAGGATAATTATGATTATTCTGTGCCACTTGTAGTCACTAAAGAAAGATAGCACAGGTAGAGTCCTCGACTTATGACAGTTCATATAGTAACCGTTTAAAGTTATGATAACGCTGAAAAAAAGTGTCTTAGGACCTTTTTTTTACAGTTACGACCTTTGCAGCATCTCCAGGATCACGTGATCAAAATTCGGCCACTTGGCATCTGGCTCGTACTTATGACGGTCCCAGCAGCGTCCCTGGGGGGGTCACGTGACCCCCCTTTGCAACCTTCTGACGAGCAGAGTCAATCAGGAGGCCAGATTCACTTAACAACTGTATTGTTAA